TCAGGACTGCTGCTCCTCCCGGTCTACGTTCACGCCAGCACGTCTCAGTTACAGACAAAAGCTTCTGTTTGAGGGTCGAGTCCAGAGCTGGCAGCCCGGGACGCTCTGCTGGAGGTGTAAACTGCTGCCTGACAGGTGTGGCCGCAGGTGTGTTCACAGCCTACCTGATGCGTATGCAGGCGCTTCCCTCTCAGACGTTTGGAGAAGAAAGCAGCTGTGCTGGTATAAAGAGTCGTACTTTGTGCCCGCGGCTCTGACAGTTGTTTATTTGCGTTGTGGACGTGGTGCTAAAGCTTCGGCTCTTCACAGAGCTCCGCCCCAAATGTCAGAAACAAAACTAAACAGCTGTTTAACAGCAGCGCACACACAGAGCTCTGCGACATCACCAACAGCTTTCACTGAGCCTCAGTCCTGCAGAAACGTCTTTAAAATGTGGTTATAAACATGACTGGTGTTTGGTTCACGGCTGGATGCTTCCACGTGCTCGATTCTTTGCTTTTACGCTCGGTCACGTCCACTGACCGAGCGTGGCTCAGGATTGGATGATGTTTTGTGAAGACTTCCGTCTGGACGGCCGGCCCAAAGTCGACCTCACACAGCAGAGTTCCACCAAAACAGCTTCTCCTTCAGCTGTGTGCGACTACTGCGTCACACAACTGTCTCCCACACAAACACTGCTAACAAACAGGCTACGGCTGCTGACGTCACCCCGAGCCAGTAAATTCTCCTTTTACTCCTTTAATTGCTGTTTGTTTTTTAACAGGCTGGTAATTACGAGCATTATCTGTTTACAGCCAGTCAGGAAACGTCTTAAAGAATAAAGAATTAGTTTGTCCTGATTATCCTGTAACAGGGAGCCGTATATGCGTATATGTGGACGATTTTCCATTATAAACACAGCGTCTCACTGAACGAGCAAATAAACATCCACGCTGGGACTGCGTGCCAGATAAGCCTGAAGCATCAGCACGCTGAAGTGCTCAGCATCTATTCCACGGACCGTCATGAGGAAACACGCAGCTGTACAGTAAACCACAAACACGACCCAGGTATTAGATCTGAATTTAGAGGGAAGCTTAAAAATATTTTATCTTTATGTCTTCAGATTCTTCCATCTGTAGTTTTTCACATTAACGGACCATCAAACTGACACATTTTGAGTTTTGGTCTCTGAAACTGAGGCGAAACTAAACATCACAGCAGGTCA